CCGTTCTCCGCTTAAGTAATTATTACTTCCTGGTTAGCTTTCCGCTCGAAATTTAAATCTGAAAATGGCAAAATAACGGAGAAAAAAACGTTCACAGAGAAGACGACAACAATTGTCACTTGCACTTGTCATTTAGCATCTGAACACACTTGTAAACAACGTGATGCCCGGGAAGCGAAGACCCGGCGGAAACAGCTGGTCTGGTTCACTAAAATGTCCGTGTACAGTATATCTGGTACTAATGTATAGCGGATCTTTGTTAAGATCCATATGTCAGTAGAGATGGGATGGCAGAAGGTGCTATATATATATATATATATATATATATATATATATATATAATTCCAAAGCTGGTAAAGACCTTTCAAATTTAGCAATAATAGTCATATAAGAAAAGTACTGATTTGTTCTTGAATCAACTTTTTTATGGAAAATGTTTTATGTAATTTTATTTCATTTTAAATAAAATGAAAGACATTCACAGTTAATGTAATTAGATATACATTATTAATGCCATACATTTTTAAATGTAATTAGATATACATTATTAATGCCATACATTTTTGCATAAATATTTATTCAGTATGATAGCTGTCTAACAGAAGTTAAATCCATTTCTCACTTATTCTGACAATGTACTTAACCCCAAATAAAAGAACCCAATAAAAATAGTTGTTAAATAATAGTGAAGTCACGTTGTAATAACAATAACTCATCTCTCTCGGTTTTTTTTGTTTTCTTTGTGTGCTTTGCCAAAAGCCACTGTGTCAAGTGTCCTAGTTGGGTTACCGTAACGAACAGCAGCCGGCTCTCGATTTTTAATCCTAATTTAATCGTTTATGTTCGCCGAATTGACATGAAATCACTGACAAATATGAATATACTGTATTCAACTTCATTAAAATGTTATTAACGTGCCTAAACTCAGTAATTCACTAACAATTACTGATCCCTCCACGTCGCGGAGGGATCTTGATCCCTGGGTGTTATTTTTCCCCATAATGACCAAGTCGCTGCAAATTATCCCGCTTATTACATGGCCACATTCTCAACAAAGTAACGACATGACTCCCAATATTAATTAAAATGCTTTTATGGATTTAGAAAATATTTTTATTGATTTAAAACATAGTTCTATGTATTGATTTAAATTTACATGCATCCGCTAAGAAAAATAGTCCGTTGTTACCGTTTTTTAAACAGTCAGAATGAAACGGCAGCTCTCAGCTGTGTGTTCACACTCCTAACTCTGATCTTTCTTTTCCAACAGTTAAGTTAACTGTAGGTTACTCTGAGTGACAAGCTTACAGTTAGTGAAGTAACACTTTTTTTTTGTGAGTCACGACCTCGCTGTTTCATTCTAACATAACGCTCCAAATATGACTGTTTCCACTCGGACTTCAATACAGCAACACCATTGTTTGGTTTCCATGGTAGCGTGTCTCTTTAGTAGCGTGCACTCCTTTCCTGTAAATTACAGGTCCAGCCAGGCAAAACAGTAATATGAAATATGAACGTTAGTTTTTAACTGAAATGATCAAATAAAGTCAAAATGTCACAGTGTTTACAAACATTGACCATACCGTTCACCAGCCCCCACCCCACTCTTTGTTTAAAACGAATTGGCCATCGGAATGTGTGTGTCCCAACCCCCCCCTGTGATATCTCTTCACAGGGGGGAGAGAGTTAGACGCTCGTGAATTGTCAACGGGGGGGAGGCCTCTGCACGGAGGAGCCGCGGAGAAGTGAATCACAGTGATCTGCTATTTTAAAGTAAATTCAACACATATCGACCCTAAATATAGCATATATTAAGAACGAGAAAGTGTTAACATCGTTTTTTGTAAACATATGACCAATGTGCGAGGGTGATGACATCAGAGCATCGTCCTATGGGCTTAGCCCCGGACAGGTACAACAGGTATTCACTCAGAGGGGGGTAGTTACCCATTTACATGTCAAAAAGCAACATACAGTAGGCGGGTGGGGGATGGTGAACGTTTACATTTCTCTACAGCAGTGGTTCCCAAACTTTTTGTGCCCAAGGCACACCAAAGGACAAGTAAAAATCTCAAGGCACACCTATTGTGCGAAATAGCCCTTATAACACGTGTTATCACTCATATCATGTAAAATATCTGTAAATGTGCATAATTATTTACTAATGCCAAATAAAATGTATAGATAGAACAATCAGTGGTTCAAGTTAGTATATTCCTCAGTGTAACATATCCACTAGTTGCAAAGCTTAAACATTTTTATATATTTTTTTATTTTAAGGGAAAGGATGTTTTCACTACTCAGTTTGTCAACTATGTTACGGACAAACTTGATGTCATTACAATCATTTGATTAAGTCCTGCACTTCAAGTAAAATCAAATTTGAAAGGCTCTTGAGTCTATTCTACCATATATCCAAAGATTTTTTAAAGTTTAAAAAATAATTGTATTAAAGTTTTGTTTTTTCATGTGATATGTTCAGCACTGTCATTAAGTTTAGGGATATTTTGTATTATAAAACTACCATACAGGTCATTTTGATAGTTTTAAGAGATGTCATGTAAAACTCCAACCTGTGTAGATATACATTATACTATAAAGGATATCAGAAGCACTATTTTAGATATTTTAAATTTGAAAAAATGAGGTGCAACATAGTTGACAATGAAAGTCAAACATTTGACGCAAATAACATAGTTGACTGGACACATTATTAACCATCAGCACTATGTTAATTTCAAGGCAGAAGTGCAAAATTCCATTGATAATGATGTGTAATGACGTCTACATGTCGTACAAATTGTCAACTAGGTTACCTGTCAACTAAGTTACTACAGTTATTACAGTACTGGGTAACTCAGTTGACAGGTAACCTAGTTGACAATTTCCCTATTTTGACCCATCATTTCAATGGTAGGCCTTGCCTGGATGACCACATGTCATTTTCTTGAACAGGTTAACATCACATTTGCACATATAATTGAATTAAAATCATTAAACAATTGTAAACCATAACAATGTACGTAACATTGTTGATTGTCAATGAGTATATTAATTGACCATGTGCTATTATACATAAAATATTGTAAAAATGTAGAGGACAATCACCACAGTGTGTTCAAAATGTCTGCCAAAGAGGAACATGGCATCATGTGATGCTGGTGACATGGTATTGGGACAAACCATTTTTGAGTTAAAGGGGGAAGTTCTGTTAGTAACATAGTTGACAGAACTTTTGCGGACATTCATATATTAAGATATTTAAATTATTTAAAGGGGGAAATCAATTAAAAATATGTTATTATTCTTTAGTATTTAGACTTTTGAAATAAATGAATCATTTTTTAAATTTACTTTAATGGTTTTTATTCATTATTTTGAAACCAAGACACCCTCAACTGAAAAACGGACATAGCAAAAACTGACAATTTAAGAACATCATGACACATTTCAAGCTAAATAAAGCATAGGATGCACATAATGTTTGTGTGATATTATAACATGCTTTCCAATAATAGGCAAAACATGATATTTTTGAAGAAAATAGTTAGAATAATTATAATTATCATCAATGGACATCAATGGACATGGAATGTACCCTAAATTGTAGAATCACTCAGCAGTTACATACACCAAACCTTCCAGTTATATTCCTATCAATATTATGAAGGCTTTTACAGAAGGGTTTGGTCATATATAATTCATAGCCTGAATTATATAACATTTTATACCTAAAAACATGGTGAAAATTGATATTTTAGGGCTGTTGACAGTATTTTCTGATTTATGGAGTGATACAAAGAGATATCCAAAATCCCTTCTGTAAAAGCCTTAGATACTAATATGACTACAAAATGAAACAATAATTTTGATCCTGGCTTTATCCAAAGTTCAGATTTCGGTTCCTGAAATGTGTCAAAATATGCGCATATTTCATGAGATAATGGTTCATTTGGATATTTAAACATGCTATTTCAGAAAACTTGTAATACAAAAAACAATTGCCTTATTGTAAGTAATTAACTGGAGAAATATTTAGCTGATATCTTTAAGTTAAAAATACCCTATTCACCTGGGGTGTCTCGCCTTAATTAGATGTTTGATAAGTGCAGATCACATAGTAAAACACGTACACAGATACATTATTTTGTATTTTTATTAAATTCGACAATGTCAATTTCACTTTCCACTATGTCCACCGTTGTTTTTCACAACCAATGGCAGAACTATATTGAGGCCTGTAATTAGTCAACTACAGGTCTCTTGAGTCAGTCTTTTTCTTCCAAAAAGCTTGTGACAAGATGTTATTGCTCTTGGGGCATTAAAAACAAGATTTTAACTTTAGTTTTTTATATAATATCTGCATTTTCTATTGTGAAAAACTAAGTCTTAGTTATTTAATATATAGCGCCATCTCCTGGTTAAACCCTGAAATTGGAGAATAGTGGGAGGGCCTAACATTCCTGAATACTGGTCTTTGGCAGGCAACTGGCTGGCAACTGGCTGGCAGTCGGCAGGAAGCTGTATGCTGGGGTCCAAAATAAGAGGCTCCATCTGTAGTGCTTTTGTTCTTATCTTTATAAAATATGTTTCTCTGTTGTTCTCTCTTGGTCTGTGATTAATTAAGGTGTACCACAGGGTTCAATCCTAGGTCCTCTCAGTTTATATTTACATGCTGCTTTATCTGAGGAATTGTCTTTGTTTTGCAGACAATACGTGAAGAGTCTGATATAATTCAGTCAACGTAGCAGCTGGATTTTCTTTTGTAAATTTAGGAATTAGTTTAAGGAAATTAAGTGATAAGAGATCACCAAACTATAACAATGATCACCTGCAGCTGATACAACATGCTGCTACCAGTCTGTTACCCAGGAGGAAGTGTAACTGAGAGAAGTGAAATACAGACCTAAGAGAAGACAGAGAGATTCAGGGAGGAGCTAAGATGTTCCTGAACTATAGAAGAGAGATGAACTTCCATATTCACCAGAGTTCAACACAGACCATCATCATCACCTTCATTCAACATGCTGTCCCTGCAGAACTCAGCTTTTTCTCTGATGTTGTTTTCAATCTTATCCGGTTAGTAGATGGATACAAAATCAGTGTCAACGCTTTCTGAGTGTGGTTCTGCTAAAAGGACTTTTATAACATTAAATAACAGAGTTATTCTTTCCCTTAGGCGTCAGCTGTGAAGATCTGACTCCAGTCAAAACAGACGAGTTCAGTTCAGAAGGCAGCACTGTTACTCTGTCCTACAAAGCTGGATCTGATGCTAATTATTACTTCTGGTATCGACAATATCCTGGAAAACCACCAGAGTTCCTCATCTCACACTCTGCTTCAGGCCAAGTAGGAACTAACCCAATCCCTGGACTGAATATTACAGTGACGAAAAAGCAAATGGAGTCAAACCGAATCAATATGATCATCTCCTCTGCTGCAGTGACAGACTCTGCTGTGTACTACTGTGCTCTGCAGCCCACAGTGACAGGAAACACCAACACTCTGTACAAAAACCTTTGGAGCAAAGACAACACAGTACTGCACAGCATCCACCAGAGGGAGTCTCTCTCTGTTAGACTTCAGCAGAGTTTATCAGTCCTCTTTATACTCGCTGTAGCTCAGAGTTTCTCAACTTGCAGATATGATGCATCTGATTATCTCAGTGTTGCTGGCTGCTATGAGTCTTGGTATGAACTCTTTGATATCAGTCTAACATTGAGATGATTCTCTAACATGGCCCTGATACTGTTTGTTGCTGTTTTACAGAATGCAGAGCCCAAAGAGACAACGTGCTGCAACCTGAAGCAGAAAAGACTGCTACTAAAGGAGAGGCAGTAACACTTGGCTGTCACTATAACACCACTTCATCAAATGACTATCTCTTCTGGTACAAACAGCTCGGAGACAACAGCCCCACATTCATCCTGAGCCGCTTTAAGATCGGCACGGGGAAAACAGAGGACGAGGACAGATTCTCATCCACATTGGATTCAAGCTTAAGATCCGTTCCTCTGAAGATCCAGAAGCTTCAGCTGTCTGACTCTGCTGTGTACTACTGTGCTCTGAGGCCCACAGTGACAGGAAACACCAACACTCTGTACAAAAACCTTTGGAGCAAAGACAACACAATACTGCACAACATCCACCAGAGGGAGTCTCTCTCTGTTGGAGTTTAGGGAAACAACACAAGAAACTCTCAAACAATTCAACCACCAGCAGAGAGCCATCCTTTATTTGATGCTTCAACACCACGCTACTTTAATTTATCTGAAACATTTATCCTAATAACTTTTTATTAGTGCAGTCCACCAGGTGCCAGACTCCTGATGGACCTTCACCAACACTTCTTATTTTTCATATTTATTCCCACTTGCCCTGACATCTGCAGTCTTCAAACCACTCTTAAAGAGCAAGCTAGGGCAGGGGTCGGTAACCGTAGGCACATGGCACGCGGTACCGTAACCAATGGCACACTAGGAATAAGTAGAATAAGTGTGCAAAATATTTAAATTGTATTTTCGGATCCTGAACGAGACCGCCGCCAGAGCGCGTCTCCCCGTTACCTGCAGAAGGAAGACATGCACGCAACGCAGCGCAGAAGGAAACAAAAAATGTAAGAAATCTAGACCGCAACAGAATTAAACAAGCGACTGCCTGTTTTTCCTGGCCATGGACAGGTTCCTTGAACACAACACAAGCGTAATGTGTCATTACGGGGTATAGTGCTGCCGGAACGCGGCTCCGGCACTTCAAAAATTGCAGTACCCATAAGGAGCCCCATGAAAAGATAATCACATTGGTTGCTTAAACATTTTTTTCTTAATGTTCTCAAATAGTTTGGGCCCCTGTCAGTCACGGGCCCTCAGAATCGTCCTAACTTTTCACCCCCTTACGGCGCCCCTGCGTACACATGCCGCAGTTTTTGCGTGGCTGTGTCTTTAGTTGTAAGCCCAGTGGCATCTGTTCATCTGACATATGATCATACAATAATGCCATGGAAAATAATATGCTACATTACAGTTCAACTGTTGATAAACATCAACAGTTAGTGATGATACAGTAATGTTGTTTACCTGCTTGATCATTTGAAATCTGTGAACAATTTTACCATAGAAACACATGTACTGCCTTGATTCAAGTAGTCTCCATGAACTAAAAATAAGTGTCTCTAATTTTCTGTCAGTCTGTGATTTGATGTGGTGTACCACAGGGTTCAATCCAAGGTCCTCTCACTTTGTCATTGGTTTCAGTTTATCTCGAAACCCAATGTGATCGTAGGTTCTATTGGAACAGCAGCTTGTGTTGTGGTGTTCAAGACCTTTTCAATGTTGGGTATGAAGTACAATTCTTATTAGATTAAGATCATTTTAAACAGATTTCTCTCTAGATGAAACACCTCTCACTAATCTGACTTCACGTTAACGCCCGTCATTGTTATTGCCACGTTTTCCTTCTTTACTGACTGATCAAACACTTTAAATCACCTCTCTCAATAAACTGGTACACATCACACACTCAAGATTTGATTGCTTTTGTTCTTATCTTTATAAAATAAGTTACTCTGGTGGTCTGTGATTAATCGTGGTGTACCACAGGGTTCAATCCTAGGTCCTCTGACTTTTTATTTACAGACTGCCTTTGGATCTGTTACCCAGGAGGAAGTGTAACTGAGAGAAGTGAAATACAGATCTAAGAGGAGACAGAGAGATTCAGGGAGGAGCTAAGATGTTCCTGAACTATAGAAGAGAGAAGAACTTCCATATTCACCAGAGTTCAACACAGACCATCATCATCACCTTCATTCAACATGCTGTCATCACATCATTGTTTCATTTTTTTATTTTTAGTGTCCGTTCTAAGAGGTACGTAACATTCTGCGCGAACAGGTTGAATTACAGATTAATTTAATGCGATTTATTAAATGAATACTTTGAATTACTCCTCTCTCCAGTCAGCTGTGAAGATCTCACTCCATCAAAGCAAGAAGAGTTCAGTCCAGAAGGCAGCACTGTTACTCTGTCCTACAAATACTCCAAAACTATAGCAGCTAATGATTATTTCTACTGGTATCGACAATATCCAGGAAAACCACCAGAGTTCCTCATCCTTCACTTGGGAACAACACCTGCATCAAACTCTCGACTGTCCGTTAAACCGAGTGAGGATAAAACCCAGGTCTATCTGAGCATCTCCTCTGCTGCAGTGACAGACTCTGCTGTGTTCTACTGTGCTGTGCAGCCCACAGTGACAGGAAACACCAACACTCTGTACAAAAACCTTTGGAGCAAAGACAACACAGTACTGCACTACATCCACCAGAGGGAGTCTCTCTCTGTTCACCTTCAGCAGGATGTGATGATACAGTCTAGATTAGATTCTCTCAGACTCACAGCTGTGATGAAGAGCTCCAGAAACTCATTGGACATCTGAGTCTCCTCCTGCTGACTGCAGAGCTTCATGACTGACACCTCTCTGATTCCAGCTGTGAACATCAGACCAAACACAACTCACTAAACGTTTCCATACTGAACAACCACAGCTTTCCCCTCTGTGAACATGGAGAAACTGGCTGCAATTCTGCTCTGTTCAGCTCTCATAGGTACGTATGTTTCTGACAGGAGAAGGGGAAATATGAAGACTTTTTCAAAGCATTACACATCCACTTTGGATTTTGGATTAACGCTTTACAGGAGTGTTGTTTTTTCACTAAGGAATTGATGGGTTTGGGACTTTGGAGCTGTAATGATAGCATGATGTTTTCCTCACTAGGTAATAGCTTGGAAGATGATATTACTGCCATCAGTGCTGAAGTGTGTTCCTCAGAGGGCCGTAGTGTTACTCTGTCCTGTACATATTCAGTTAAAGCCAATAACCTCCAGTGGTACAGACAGGATCCTGGATCAGCTCCTCAGTTCCTCCTCCTGATCACTGACACAACACAGCCTTACGTGGTGGAAGCAAAACCTCCAATCCCTCGACTGAATGCCACACTGAACTTGGAGAGAAATCAAGTGGATCTGCAGATCTCCTCTGCTGCAGTGACAGACTCTGCTGTGTACTACTGTGCTCTGAGGCCCACAGTGACAGGAAACACCAACACTCTGTACAAAAACCTTTGGAGCAAAGACAACACAATCCTGCACAGCATCCACCAGAGGGAGTCTCTCTCTGTTAGACTTTAGGGAAACAACACAACTAATGTTCAAACAACTCAACCCCCAGCAGAGAGGCATCTTTTATTTGATGCTTCAACACCACGTTACTTTAATTTATCTCTCACATTTATCCTAATACTTTTTAATGAGAGCATTCCACCATGTGCCAGACTCCTGATGGACCTTCACCAACACTTCCTGTTATTCATATTTATTCCCACAGGCCCTCAAAACTGCAGTCATCAAACCACTCTTAAAGAACTACCTAGGCGCTTCACTGATGAACATTTATAGGCCGGGTAAAATAATAAAAAAGTTCAACAGCTAAAAAGCTGTTTTGGCACTAAATAACTGTTTTGATGTGTTCCAGTCACACAGCACTGAGACTGCTCTAATTAACGTTTTAATCCACTTAAACACAGACAGTGGCAGAATCTCACTGTCAGTATTATTAGTTCTCAGCGCTGCATTTTAAACTGTTGACCACAAGATATTACTAGACCGACTGGAAAACTGGGTGGGACTCTGGCACTGTTTGTATTGGTCTGAATGCTACTTAACAGACAGGAAACACTTTGTTTCTCTAGGTAACTAAACAACTGAGTTGACGAATATGACATGTTGCGTTCCTCAAGGCTCCATCCTGGGGACTCTTCTCTTTAACATCTACATGCTTCCACTAGCTTAGTTAATGGATAACAATGAAATAAGTTACCATAGCTATGCAGACGACACACACGTGATAACATGAAAAAAGAAATTGAGAGAAGTGAAATACAGATCTAAGAGGAGACAGAGAGATTCAGGGAGGAGCTAAGATGTTCCTGAACTATAGAAGAGAGAGGAACTTCCATATTCACCAGAGTTCAACACAGACCATCATCATCACCTTCATTCAACATGCTGTCCCTGCAGAACTCAGCTTTTTCTCTGATATTTTTTGCAATCTTATCCGGTTAGTTACACTCTGGATAAAACATCAGTGTCATTGCTTTCTGAGTGTGGTTCTGCTAAAAGGACTTTTATAACATTGAATAACAGAGTTATTCTTTCCCTTAGGCGTCAGCTGTGAAGATCTGACTCCAGTCAAAACAGAAGAGTTCAGTTCAGAAGGCAGCTCTGTTACTCTGTCCTACAAAGCTGGATCTAATGCTAATTATTACTTCTGGTATCGACAATATCCTGGAAAACCACCAGAGTTCCTCATCTCACACTCTGTTTCAGGCAGTGTAACTAAGCCAATCCCTGGACTGAATATTACAGTGGAGTCAAACCGAATCAATATGATCATCTCCTCTGCTGCAGTGACAGACTCTGCTGTGTACTACTGTGCTCTGAAGCCCACAGTGACAGGAAACACCAACAGTCTGTACAAAAACCTTTGGAGCAAAGACAACACAGTACTGCACAGCATCCACCAGAGGGAGCCTCTCTCTGTCAGACTTTAGGGAAACAACACAAGATATTCTCAAACAGTTCTACCACCAGCAGATAGGTATCTTTTATTTGATGCTTCAACACCACGTTACTTTAATTTATCTCTCACATTTATCCTAATAATGTTCAATTAGTGCATTCCACCATGTGCCAGACTCCTGATGGACCTTCACCAACACGTCTCCTTTTTCATATTTATTCCCACAGGCCCTGAAAACTGCAGTCATCAAACCGCTCTTAAAGACAAACCTAGGGGCTTCATTGATGAACATTTATAGGCCGGTTAAAATAATTGAAAAAGTTCAACAGCTAAAAAGGTGATTTGGAACTAAATAACTGTTTTGTTGTGTTCCAGTCACACAGTACTGAGACTGCTCTAATTAACTTCTTTAACCTGTTAAGCACCAAGCCTGTTTTTCATGTTTCAGGCTCGAAAATGACATGCCCAAAACAAATGACTACAACCTAACTTCTAAAAGGGTTATATGAATAATTGCTTTTATCAAAGCAAGGTTACATCTGTGAGTTGGATGTAGAAGTGTCAGAATCAATATAAATCTTTTTTATTTTAAAGAAAATTTAGATTTTACATAGTAAAAAACTGTAAATTATAGTGTCCGTCCAAATATTATTTTTTACAGATAGTGAAAACTACCCTTGGATGATGGGTTAGTAGACTAAAAGCTTTAGGAATCCAAAGTACAACATATAATAAGTACCCTGTATCAAGATTGATGCAAAACAAGTGACATTTGACCTTTATAGAGAGGTTTAGCCAAAACCACCCCACCTCTGAGGTGATTTGGGTGAAAATGGTTTTTTTTCCATATCTCTGGCCCCCCTTGCTCGATTTTGATGGTTGACACCTCTTTCTGACCGTTAGAGCCAATAGAATCGAAGGGGGAGGCCCACATACACACTCATTGTAAAGAGAAAAGGTGAGGGCTGCGCGCATGTAATCTAGCATCAGAGTGGACCGATCTCTCCCTCTGGAATTTGGAAACTAAAAAGCAGTTTTATTGCTTATGGATTATCAGAAATCATTTCAAAGAGGGCACAGATACATTGGATTAACCTATGGATTAACTGCAGCATCGTTTTTTTATCGTTTTAATGCCATTGAAGACCAGTTTTGACCAAGGTAAGCCATGTTAGCGTTTCTAGCTACTTAGCTCCACATGTTATGATGTACGCTTTCGTTTATAGCGTCGCAAATGTTTATCACTGAGTGTTGAGGTTTTTTACACAGATTCAGTGTCTCCAGGACACCAAAAACGAGTGGATGGCTGTGCATCTAGGATAAGTAATAAGGGAGTTATTGTGAGTTTAAGTGCCGTTTTAGGTTAAATGTTTTCGCTCGTGGCTAATTCAGAGGCTCAGTGCGAGCATTGTGGGGTTTTTTTTGGAGAAAAAAAATTAAAAAGATCAGTTAGCTGAGTTTCTTCCCGTTACATGATTTCTCTCTCGATGAAACACCTCTCACTAATCTGACTTCACGTTAACGCCTGTCATTGTTATTGCTAAATTGTTGTACATTTCAATGTATGAGTCAGTGAGAAACACAAAGAGAACTAAATGTTTTAAATATGAGAAAAGTATTTTGATGGTTTAAAACCAGTAAAACATGATTCTCTGGCCCCGCCCACTGACGTTTATATCAACCAATGAGATGATTTGTGAGATGTTTGAGGAACTAAAAGCACAATCATCTGATGTTGAGGAGAAGGGCTGAGCAGCAGAGAGGCTGTTTCCTGCTTCACTTCTGCAGGAGGAGAACTCATCTGCTGACTGTTCCACTTTACCATCTCCAAAGACATGTTGCTTTACCTCTGGTTACTCTTCTCTCTCTTCATAGGTGAGTGTTGGAACAGAGATAAAGTCTCATTTAACCCGCTGTATTAGCCAGAGATTTCATAACTGGAGGTTTGATTGTGTAAGGCAGCAACCGTTGTGATCTATGAAGACATTTGGTCATGTTTTATCTCAAACTGATCAAAGATGACAGGAAATTGAAGACCCTCCGTTGAGTCTCTTAATGTTAAAATCTCCTGCAGACTAACTGACATGAATAATTCTCATTTTGCAGCCCTGGGCTCCATGAACAGCATAAAGCCAGAAAGAAGTGAAGAACATGTTGCAGAGGGCAGAAACATCAGCCTGACATGTAAATATGAGGGGACTATCTACAATATCCAGTGGTACCGACAATACCAGAGATCCAGACCAGAGTTCCTGCTCTCCATCACAGAGGCAGGAGGGATCCATCCCACTGAATCTGATTTCTCTGCTCACATTGACAAAACAGAGAAACGAGTTGATCTGGAGATCATCTCAGCTAAAGAGACAGACTCTGCTGTGTACTACTGTGCTCTGACGCCCACAGTGACAGGAAACACCAACACTCTGTACAAAAACCTTTGGAGCAAAGACAACACAATACTGCACAACATCCACCAGAGGGAGTCTCTATCTGTTAAACATCAATAGTTTGTGATGATACAATCATTTAGTTTACCTGCTTGATCATTTGAAATCTATTAACAATTGTGCACTACCATACAAACACATGTACTGCCTTTGAGTCACATCCACAGGTTCAAATGTGTAACTCAATCAGTTAATCTGACCTGTTATCACAGATTAAACGTAATATGTAGTCTCCATGAATTTAAAATAAGTGTTTCTGTTTTTCTGTCAGTCTGTGATTTCATGTGGTGTACCACAGGGTTCAATCCTAGGTCCTCTCACTTTGTCATTTAATTCAATTTATCTCTAAGCACAATTTGATGAAAGGTTCTATTGGAACAGCAGCTTGTGTTGTGGTGTTCAAGACCTTTTAAATGTTGGATCTGAAGAAATATTTGTAATAGATTAAGATCATTTTAAACAGATTTCTCTCTGGATGAAGCACCTCTCACTAATATGACTTCACGTTAACGCCCGTCATTGTTATTATTACGTTTTTATTTGCTGACTGATCAAACACTTTAAATCACCTCTCTCAATAAACTGGTACACATCACACACTCAAGTTTTGATTGCTTTTGTTCTTATCTTTTTAAAACAAGTTACTGTGGTGGTCTGTAATTTATTGTGGTGTCACCACGAACTTAAAATAAGT